AAAATACTTATGTTTATACATACAATTTGAAATTTTATATATAAAATATTGATGATTAATATATATAGTAGACTATTAAAATTATTAAAACAGAAATAAAAAAACAAACCTTGCTCTGTTGCAACATCAGGTAGATAGGTTGCAGTTCGTTTATTGCCCTTCTCATTATGAAATTCTATACGAATTCCATGAACACCTACTTCCCAGTCTAAATAATCAATACCATCTTCAAAGTGTCTCAAAATTGAAACACTTACATGTAAACGTGGTAGTTCATCTCGTGTGATAGGATTAAAGCGTGAATCTTTGAATGCACTTTGAAAATTTTCTAATGTGTTTAAGAAAATAAAACAATACCATTATCTAAAATAAAAAAAATAAAAAAAATTTACCTGGTTGTTGCATATTCTCTAAGTCCAGCATGTAACTGCATCGCATTAAATGTACCAATACAACCTCTTAACCTCATATCTTTTCCAATAGTCCATGTTACAAATAATGGGCTATAAAGTACAAGTAAACAATTTACTACATATTTCTTTTATTATTTATAAACAAAGATAATGTTAGATACAATATATCAATTATAACATGAAAATACGTGATAATTTAACAAAATATGACCATTTATTTACAAATTGAACTTTTGACCTTTATACAATAATAAATATTTTTTGTAAAGAATCTTCTATATATATAACAAATAATTTAAATTTTTTTTAAATTCTATATATTTATAATAAATAATTTGTTTTTTATGAAAAAATACAATTAATATAAACAAATAAATATCGACTACAATATATGCATTCAAGTACCATTGATTTCAATGCAAACAAAATCTTAATTAACATTATATCCCGTTGTTGGATGTATCACATTGTAACAAAGGAACTGAAGGAATGTGAAGGTACATACACGAACATAACATTTAAACAGAAAAGAGAGAGCAGCTGATGACAAGCATGTGTGATAAAGATAGCTGTAGAATAGAAAGAGATAGCAATATGAAAGAAAGAATAGAAAATGAAAAAAATTAAAAATAATGTCAATAAATAATATTACTCACAATGCTTCGTTGCTAAAATTGGGCGGTTTTGGAGGGTCGAGTTGATGTAATTGGCAATAAAGAACATCGAAGCAAAAGAAGCCCATCTCAGGCTTTACTATCACACTGTTCCTTAACTGTGTGCCATTTTGTAACACTGAACCATTACAAGGAACACTTGAAGAATTGTTCAGCTTTTGCTTTTTCGTTCCACAACAACCTGCAGCCATGTTTCCTTAGTCAATTCTTTGAACGATTGCGACTACTGCAGATACGATCGGTCCTCGACCCACACGACTTCCATTCTTCTCTCCTGCTGTCGCGGGCTCCATCGCGCGCGCGTTCCGTTAGATGTCCTCATACTCGTGGAAACAGCTGTTTCATTATCTACCATTTGTTGAGAGCGCGGTGACGAACAGTCAAACTTGAAAAATGGCGGTAGTATTCACGCTTTCTTTTTCTCTTGTTAAATTTGTGAAAATTAACAAGTTAGAAGTGAAATAAATCGAATAAACAATCACAATAAGGAAATACAACATAATTTGTAAAAGTAAGTGTATCTAAAAGATTTTATTTTAATCTTTTATTGCGTATACATATTATACATTTACAATAAAATTTAATGTTCTATTTAGCGTTATATACAAAAATAATTGGTACGTAATCATAATTTGATTTTGTTAATGCATAAATATTTATTTTTTATACATATATAATACAAATATATACTTTTTAATACAAATCAACTTTTCTTTTGTAATACACACAAATACATATAAATTTTGTTTTACTCCTTATAATGAGGAACGCGATACAATTGAAGAATTATTTTTTTTAATAAAATGAAAAATTTTCAATAATACTTTTATTACTTCTTCAATAATATTATTAACAACTATAAATACAATTGTAAAAAAGAAAAAAAAAAGAAATTATGCCGGGGGCACCAACTTTTCTAACCCCTTACCTGGCACCTGCTCACGATGCATCGAGAAGCCTAAGGCGTGACAGCAGATTCAACCTGGCAACATGTGCATGCTTGTAGCTGTCCGGTATATTGCCAAGTGATTATATTTTTTCTGACAGATGACATTATATACTCATAGTTTATCATATAAGAGTTGTATAATTTGTGCTAAGTGTTTAGTGAAATTACATTTTCTATTTTTTTGTTTCTGAGAATGTATCTTCGTGATAAACAAAAGCAAGTTATTAAATTGGAAAATTGATATTTTATTATAGCTAGTGTTAAGTGTAGTGACATATATAAATATTATAAGAACATAAAAAAAAAAAAACATAAAAAAACACTTTAATTTCTATTTATTAAAAAAAGAAAATGAAATTTTGAGCAGTTATCCAAAAAAACAATGTGATATTGAATTATCTTTTTATAGTTAAATTTTAAGTCGTTACATTATTATTTTCATTGAAAGTAAAAGAAAAAGAGAATAAGTTCAATTAAAGGTATAAATATTTAATATGGTTTTAATATAAAGTTTTTTACGAAAATACAATAAAAAAAGTTGCAAAAATAATTATTCGGTACTGATACATACAGTGAAAAAAAATGGGTAAGAATGTTATTTATATATTTTATCCATGTGTGTATGTGTCATGTTACATTATTCGAATCTTGTTCGCAATAGTCATTTTTAATTTTATTTCGAATATGTGTACATATACATACATATGTACATAATATATATACGATGTGTTTGTATTTATTGTATATAGTTTGTACGTGAACATGTTATATAAAATGTGTCATAATACTTTGAACGTCCGAGTGTGACTCACATTTACGCAATCTTTACGCGGTGCTCAAGTCAGATTATTTCGAATAGATACAAAGCATCGCATGGATATTCAATGAATGGAAAATTCGAAAGTAGGAGCAATACATATTAGGAAATTTAAGAAAATCTTATTTCTTTTCGAATTTAATTAAAAATAAAAACGTGATCGAAATCATTATATTTATTTCAATTTATACTTAGAAGCATCTTATTGTTGATTGCTTTTTTCACATGCTCATTACTTATTTGACGGGAATGTATCGAGATTCATTCTGTAATATTTATAACTGAAGTAGGCATCGCTGACATTGCCATCACACGTTCCAATTTACGCTTCGTAAATTGTCTACGCTTCTGTAGCGTTGATGTACGCTCGAAGCACATCTTAAGCAACGTGGAGTTAATTACAGTAATGAAACAGCTGTCATCAGACAGCTGAATAATCGATTGACATTTTAGTGGTAGGTCGATTCATAAGATCTCAAAGGAAATTGGGGGATTTCGGAATTATTTAAAAAATTTTTGAAAATGTGTCGTTGCTATCAGATAGAAATCGATTTTTCTGATAATTCTTTTGGCTCAGATTCAACGATAAATTAACAATGACAATTCTATTCTTTCACTAAGATACGCAAAATGTATTTAGTAGTTCAACACGTTATTGTTGATAGTGCACTTGCATGCATTCCATAGATGCAATTTTATCATTTATCAAAAGTTTGACTAACAATTTATTCGATTAGATTATGGATTTACGAATTTATATTTGGAAAAAATATAATTGCTATTTTTTACTTGAAAATCTTTTCAAGTAAAACGAAATTGTTTTTATATCAATATAAATGAATATTTATTTAAAATATTTATTTAAAATTGTAAAAAAGATTTATCGCATTGAAAATAAAAATTAGCAAATAAATTATAAAGAATTGAAGGTTGTGTGTGATGCAATAATCGTACAAGTAGTTCTTATGCGTAGGAAAATCACATTCCAACGTATAATTGAAGTAAACGTTAAGAAAAGTTGCAGAAATGTTGTGTGCGATTGTGTACACATCATAAACCCTGAACAATGCTCTTCCTGTATCATTCTTTTCAATGGTTGTATACGTTCTTTTCTCATATTTCTTAATTTCCATGCTCTTAATTTCATTTCGTTTTTTCTTAATCCAAACACGTTTTACAGCGAATTTCTTCCAAGAAAATAGCGATTGTTTTTTTTAAATAAATAATGTTTAAAATCTTCTTAATCAATTTCTTTTACTTATTTCTTTGTTAGTTAATTAGTTTTTTGTACTTAAGATGAATATAAATTGACTCCAAATCTCTTTGTTATTCTTGATTTTCATTGTGCAAGAACAATTTATAAAATCTACGATATCTATCTATTATATTGTTGTTAACAAAATTCTCTGTATTCAATTTAAAATGTAAAGGAATTTTATCAGAAAATTCTGGAAAATATAAATTACAGAGTTTTTTTATTAAAAAATAATGATTTGATGATCAAAGAATTGTAATAATAATAAATGACATAAAAGTATGCAAGGTTAAAAATTCTGTCAAGATATTCATCTAGATTGTTTGTCTTCTTTTAAATAATTACTTGTCCATTAGGAAATCTTCACCTTGAGAAGTAACTGTCTTCGTTATCATTCAATAAATTCCCACGTATTCTCCCTTTTCCGTAATTACGATGAATTTATTTTAATGCAAAATTACATGCATCGTTGAACACTGTGTGATTTTCATTTGATCATTTGTAATTAATTAATATAGATTATATTCTATAAAGTATGTAGAGAATATTATTGCGCAAGCGAAATTGTTTTCGAAGTTTAAATTATAATTAAATAAACATTCGATAAAAATTTGCAATTTTCTAATATATCTTTTTCTCTTAAAATCACAACTATCTCGAAATTTTTATTTTGACATGATTACGTATCTCTGATGAAAGAAATACGTAACGAAGTGATGACGGCAATTAGTATTTTAAAATCATTATTAAATATCCTGCTTACCACTACTTTCGAGGAGATTTTTCTGATTCATAGATTCCGATAATAATCTATAATTATTAAATATGAAAGATGTTTATTCGTACAATTGATGTTTTGATCGAAGATAAATACCAATGTTTTTTAATGTTATTAAGATAATTCAACAAGATATATATCTTTCTAAGAATTAAGAAAACTAACAATTGAGAGGGATAGAATTGAAAAAAATAAAATACAATGTCTTAAATGTTATTTACAGAAAATATATTTTTAGTAATTGATAAAATAAAACAAATGATACTTGAACTTTCAACAAAACTGCAAAACATTTACAGCATTGCAATCCAATTTGTAAGCTAGTTCGTGCTGTTGAACGTCAAAATATTTCTTAGTTACTGTAGTATTTTCATGAGAAGACGTGCAGTATTACTATGAAAATATTGCTGTGTATATTGCAGTTGCATATGCATTAGTCATTTCTCGTTATGAGTAGTAATTTCAAAATATTTGTTAAGAAAATTCTCTATATTTTCAAATATTTCTCCGGTATTTCATTTGAATTTCTTAAAACTTATATTCAAGTGATAATTATTTATATAATTATTGAATAATTATTTATTTTTTTTATCATTAATTATTTAAAATTGTTATAATATTACAATAGAAATATATAGGTATAAATCTAATTAAATGTTTTATCAAAAAATAATAAAATAATAATAATAATAATAATAGTACATAATTTTAACTATTATATGATTTTCTACATAATTATGTTAATTGTAATCTTAATACAAAAAATCAACCAAGAGGAACAGTACTTTTTAAACAGTCATTCACTATGTACACTCGAGCGATTCAGTTTACCAGTGAAGCTTGTACATGTGTAGATTGTTTTATGTAAATCAACGCGTAGGTTACTTGAAGCGTATTACTGTTTGAACTGAATCGTATATACAAACGTATTCTATACGAATCACTCTTCTGTCTAGGAATTACGTGTTTAGTTATACTCAAAGCCTCGGTGATAATTGACATACATTAGCCGATTTTCATTTCAAATACAAGATTTAAAATATTGTCATTTATTATTATTATTATTATTTTATCTAACTTACGATAAAAATATGATACAATACGAGTAAATTATTATTTATTTCTATTACATAAATAACACATAAAATGTCATAAATATTTTAATTTTAATATTCGTCAATTTCACTTTACATTAACAACAAAGCTTGCATTTCTATTTGCTACTAAAAATATCGTACTAAACTGATAAATATTTTGCTAGATTTACTCTATAAAGGTTCTTGAACTCTTAACCTGGATGGAAATAGGAGAATCAAGCTGTCAACTTGCAAATCGAATCTGTTCTCATTTCGTATCTGCCAAATATTCTACTTCATTCACTTATAGGAATATTGGCATTAGCTCGACTATAATCGGCGAATTGTATTTTTAAATTGCACACTGTTTTAGAATTATCTACATTTATGTTAAATTATGTTTGTGTGCATATATATTGCAAAATATAATTTTTACATCAAGAATTAAAATATTATTGTATATATTA